TGAATTTTGTGATATTTTGGAATATAATCCAATTAAATTTGAATAAATTCCAAAATATCACAAAATTCACGTGATAACCTCGAATTATTAAAACCGGTTCCAAACTCTAGTATAAATATTCTGTTTTTAACATTATCAAATTTAAAATTTATATATATTTGTGAATGCAGGAATGGGTTTTCTTGACAAAATAACTAATATAACTATCGTAGAGCCTAATAATCCTCAGGCTGTTGTTCTTAGTACCTCTAATCCTCAAATTGTTTTTAGTAAAGAAATTGCAATTAGTGTTACGAATTACGTAGGTGGTCAATTTAATTCAGCATATGGATACGTTGGACCATGTAGTTCCACTATTTTAGCGTGGGTCGAAATTGTTGGACAACCTTATCTTGTAAATCGTATGTATCTTTTTTTTCCTGATTTTTTTTTTTTTTTTACGGCATTTTCCCTGCTACTATGATATTTGCAAAATGATGTATCTTTAATCAAAAATTTGCAGATCGCAACTCACATTACAATATATTGAATTCTTGGTTAAGAAATCAATTCACCGCACAATTGGAAAACAATCTGCTGATTGCAATTGATTGTAATATGGGATGCGATCTGCAAAATTTATACATCATTTTGCAAACAGCGAAAATCTAATAAGGTTCTTTATATCCAGAGTTGACCGTATATGCTAAGTTTATCTCACGAGAAGTACATCTTTACTCAAGATGCTTTAGTTATGTAACGTCATAATCACAATTTTAATTTTAATTTGGTAGCATTCAAATCAAACTTTCCATTACACATAACTAAGTGATCTGCGTAATAATAACCCGGATAATGATAATTAATCATATTTTTTATATTTGTTTCGTTACAGGTCATTTTTGACGTTGACAATACTCAAGTTGGTTTTGCAGAAACATTATGGGGAGTGCCTAATTATGAATTTTTAGTAAGAGCTCTTCATTTATTATTTAAAATTAGTACAATTTGAAAATAAATATTTATATTTGTATCTAAATCAGAAAACCAAAGATAAATTAAGGCAATTAATAATGAAAAAATAAAGTATGTATATAATTTTATTTACAATACGTATGTTTCTATATAAGGTTGCCTGCCGTAATAGGTTTACTAAAGTTGGAATTTCATCTCGAAATTGTAATTTTTTGCCGTAATAGGTGTAATAGTCGTAATAGGTGTAATGGTTGTAATGGTACGTAGTAATGGTTGTAATTAGTGTATTAGTCGTAATGCGTAACAGTTAGGCCACATAAAATTATATACTTGGTTTTCACTTTTTTTTATAGTAAAAGATTTTTTTTTAAATAATGTTAAAAAAAAAAGTTTATTAAAGCTTATTATCCCAAATATGTGATATGAACTTTTTACATTATTTATTAATAACATTGAATCCCGTTTTTACAAAATACGATGGTAATATAATATCCACACTAGTATTGTTTGCTGCAGGGTTGCACGCTTGCAATTTTTTAAATATATAATTTGACGATAGGTAGGTCGAAAACTGTAAAAAATATAATATCACAAAATCGCAATATTTTATAAAATAAATTAAAATTTAAACGTAATCTACATTATCAAGGTAACATTAATTTTGATATTCATTTTATTAATAACGATAATTACATGGACTTCGATCTTGTGAATTTGCGATCTTACATCCTTTTGTAGCAAAAAAGAGGGATCGCAAAGGTTGCAAGAGACAAAGTTGCAATTTTGCAGCAGGCACCTCTAATCCAAATGTTTGCGTGTCCCTATGCAAAGTACTGAATATATGTTTTACTGCGCTTTTCAAATTACTGTGTCTACTGATTCTCATACACCACACTGGAAATCAGAAATTTAGAATAAATGCAAATCTATGATTGGTTGAAAATAATTTTTAGTCAATCACGTATTGCATTTTTTGTGATGTATGAAAATCAGTGGACACAGCAATTTGAAAAGCGCAGTAATATATCACCAAGATTTGCGTCCAGACACCACCATCCTTGAAATTACATTCTGTATCAACATTCTGCTTATATAATTAAAACATAAATGTTTGCTGCATCTGCAAATCAGATAATTGCGTAGTTATGCAACTTGGCCTAGGTCTAATAGTCATTCACTATAATATCTGATCGTAAACTGGCCATAACCCTTACGCTATGATTAAATGGGTTATGATATCTGTGTATTATAAGTTCGTCTGATATACAATTTCTGCCCAAAAGAGCCGTTTACTTTTATCTGGCTAATTTCTTAGGAAAGGCTCTCTAATTAAGTCTTTACAAAAAGTATAAACGACGATTTCCATATATCTATTTAAGAAAATCAAAGAATCTGGAAATTCTGATTAGTAAAAATTAAAGATCAGATTATAACTATTTTAGAGGTGAAAACAACCACTAGTCGAAGAGCCAAAAATCAAAAAATAGTCTTATTTTTAATCTTACTAATTGATTGCCGAAGGTACTGAATATAGTTTGGTTCATATTAGCATTCTGCTTGCTGAATGTACTGTACATTCTGCTTGCTGAATGTATATTCAGCTAGCTGAATGTCTATTCAACTAGTTGAATACACATTAAGCAGGTAGAATGCTAGCAGAATACCGACATGAACCAGAATACATTCAGTACCTTCGGCAATTAATTAACCAAACTGAAAATAATATGTCTATTTTTCGATTTTTGACTATTCGACTTGTGAATGATTTCTATATACCGAAGAATCGAGAAGTTCTGATTAGTAGAAATTGAAGATCCGGTTAGAGCGAGCTTTGGAAATTCCAAAAATCTGAACATGTGTGAATTATGGAAATATCATCTACATTCGCTTACATCCTTTTTGAAAATGGTTGTGATTTTTACTCATTGGAAATTTCATTTGAGTTGACAAAAGTCAACGGATCGAAAAGATGCTAAGCAGGGGTAACATGCCCATGAGAATAGCAAGGGACAGAACCGATCTGGTACAATCAAGATTTATACAGATGGGTGACAAAAATATTTCCACACCTAAAGACTTGGCTTATAACTCAAAAACTTACTAATTAACTTATGTCCTTGACTTGACTATATGAAACCTTATCTCTTGATG